CCATCCATCCATCCATCCATCCATCCATTCATCCATCCATCCGTTCATCTATCCATTCCTTCATTTGCGAAGGCTTTGCCTGTAAGCTCAAGCACCATAGTATACTTGAACTAATTCTATAACGACTACTAATCTTTTTTTAATCTATATTTAGTATCAGTCGGTGGTCAACACACAGCGCTGAAGCTCATCCACAAGAAGAAGAAGAAGAAGGGAACTTTACTGTTAGTTTTCTGGCCAAACAACTGGAAAAAAACAAAGGTTCGTTTGTAGACTGTCGATATATATTTACATGTAATTTGCAGCCACCAAGAGGATATGAAGTGTCTTACTTCATATTCTCTTGCAGCTACTAATAGACTTTCCAGGACATCTCGGTATCATCCGTCTCTAACGCATGAAAAACATGGTATTGATGCCTGTCATGAGTCTTGAATGACTGTTCCACTTAATAAATCACATGCTCCCAACCAATCATAACGCGGGATTTTTAATAGCTATTTTATAATATTAATTAGACTACACACTTCCTTGATGGTGGCGTAGGCTCAGCCATACTGGAACTGTGTGCTCTTTAATAGATAATTACTGAGGCACGCAGCATTCGTAGGTATAATGCAGGCAGCTGCGTGCCGAAGTAGCCCTCAGCTGCCTGCATTATACCTACGAATGCTGCGTGCCGAAGTGATTATCTAGTATAATTATTGTTCTTATCAAAATCCAATTGTTTTCTTTCTAGCTTGTTTATCATAGAAACAAAGCCAATAACGAATGAACTAAATATGTCTGATTTTCCTCTATGCATTCGTTGGGATAATGCAGACTGAAAACAATGGATTTTGATAAGATCAGTAATTATTATAACATAAAGCAACCAATCAGAACGCGAGATAATTATTATTAAACATTATTTTATGTTTATTTAGACTGCACAGTTCACGTGATGGGCGCGTGAGCTCACCCGCACTAGAACTAGCTGAGTACTCTCATGACATAAAGCACGCGCTCGCAACCAATCAGAATGCGAAATTTATAACAGTTATTGTATAATGTTTATTTAGAATGCACAGTTCCGCGGTGCAAGAGTGATGGACGTGTAGCCTCAGCTGCACTAGAACTAGCTCGTAAGATCACCACGTGTAACAGTCGTTATAAAACAGAATCATCACCTCAGGTGGTTCCAGAAAACGATATCCCGATCCTTAGGCCTGCCAGTCCTGGTCAGCTCTGGAATAGCAATACTTTGTGGAATCCTTCCTGGAAGCCTCGTGGAAAGTTCTTGTCAAGTACGAAGGTCAGTGGATATTTTGACTTGTCGACCTCTTTGGGAATCAAGGGAGGCGTAGACTACTCCAAGTCTCGCTCGTTAATTTTTTCCGAGGCGTAGACTTGCTCCAAGTCTCGCTCGCTAATTTTTTCCGTTGCAATTTGGATCCAATTAGTTCACTTCCGATTACCGGGACTTCTCGAGGGGAATGGCGCAAAGGAAAAGAGAAGTGTACTATTTGAGTCCGATTTGCAACGGGAAAAATTTAGCGAGACTTGGAGGGAAACGTTTACACTCACATCTCACCTCTAGGGGGTCTCGGGCTCGATCTCAGGACTTGGTATCACGTGTGAGCAAAGTCTGTTGGGACTCTCCCTCGATTTGGGAAATTTTTCTAGGTTCTCCGGATTTGCCATCTTTATATCTCCCCAAATGCGTATTTTTACAAATACTAAGAACTATTCAATGTTATATTTAATATTATTACTCTTCCGCTCAAGTTTTCGAAACGTCAGTCACCACCAACAACAGTCTTTCTCACCCGGACGATCACATTTCACACCAAATTTCACAGCATTATTACTCTTATAGTCTACTTTATGAGCTGAAACTTTGACTTCGTACTTATGTGTTTTGAGGTGCTCTTTCCATTTCTGTTCATTTTGACACAACTGCTTGGTTTAAGGGGTAAAGTCACGTGACTTCATGAATGTACATGTTCTATTAGTACCTAATGTTATCTTGATATTTATCAGGCGCTACTTCATCAACAACCTAGACAAAACTTGTCCAATACAGACCTGAGAAATAGTTCTGACAATCTAAGACCCGTTGTTAAAGCTACCAAAAGCCTTTTGATGTCTACATCTGGGACATGGTCTGAGAATGACTATATACCGGAAGTCGCGAAGATTAGGCCCAGGAAATCTGACGAGAAGCAGGTTCTACACCGTGGAAGGCCTGGTAAGTAGAATTGAAAGGTTGAAAGACAGAAAGAATGGAGATAATGCTGTTGCAGGGAAGCATAATGGTTTAAATAGACTTTTGTACCGATACTGCGGTCATCTTGAATTCTTTTGTTTAAATTAAGATATTATCGGATGTCGAGGGTGCAACTATTGGAATATTCATACACTGCACATCTGTCAGGGTGTCTTTTTATAGAGCTTTACGCTTTTCAATGAGAAGCACATCTAAAGAGCAATCGAATTTGCTGGTAGTTGAAACAATATACGGAACGCCAAGACATCAAATTATTTGAAAACGTAATCCCGCCACTCTATGCTTTATGCATTTTCTTCGTGTTTGCCCCCGCAGCATCCCATAATCCAAGCTGGCCACCGTATTAGTAAAAAGGTCTATTGGGACCCGATATTATTGATCTTTATGGTGGGTGCTGGTATACAGTCAATTCAAAAAACGTTGTCGTCGACCGGCTCAAGCCTACGCGACTTGACCGAAAGGAATATGGGTAAAAATCACTGAAGCGGTTAAATATTCGTTCTGAATTAATTGTTCCCGCTAGTAATAAGATAATAATGGCAAGAAACAATCCATCAAATGCATGTCTTTGGGTTTAGGGAAAGAAAAACCAAGTAGTTATGATTCAGTTCACAAAACCGAAAATACGAAGGCATTAAAAAAACGTCTCCTTCAACTCTTCCCGCTCGCCTACGAAGGTTCGTGCTGTAAACAAGGCATAACTAGTCAGATAAAATTATGGAGTCAACTCGGCTTCAATGATTGCTACCCAGAGTTCCCTTCGGTCCAATCGCGTAGGCTTGAGTTGGTCGAGGACAACATTTTTTGAATTGACTGTATACGTCCTTCCTTCTCAGAGACCTGTTGAAATGCTCTGTGCTGCTACGCATGCGCGTAGGCTATTTTAGAAAGAGAGCCTATCTATGCGTTAATGGAAAAAAGTGGAAGCAAAAAAGGAAAAAGAAATGAAGCTGCAGTAAAAAATAAAAAGAAGGAAAGAAACAAATTGGATGGATGAATGAAAGAATAAATGAAAATATTTCATACATAATATATACATCTCTTTGACCATTTGTTAAAATGGCTAAAAAAATGTCTAGAAACTAAGGTGTATGAGTGCGCATGTGCCGTGTATATTCTAGTCAGTTTTTTTATTTTTATTCTTCATTTGAGATGTGCAAATCACATCCCACATGGGAAGAAGTATCTATGGGGGTTAAGGCCTTTGCGACAAAATCAAAATATCGGGTCTGCTGGTCATAGCAAGGGGTTAATCATCTACGGTCTAGGGGCCGACTAACCTCTCCCTTAGGCTTCGGCCGAGCTTCCTGATCAGTCTGTAAATCCAGGGATAGCGGTGTCGGGGCCGAAATCTCCGGCGTAGCCGTAAATGCTTCGCGCTGCCATACGACGCTTCAGCACTCGATGTCTGGAAGTATGGTCCTATATTGATTTCAGAATCAAAAATAAATAAATAAAAACAGAACAATGGAAAAAACAGATTGATGCAGAAGTAAATGAATAACAGAATTTTTCAACGAATAATAAAAGGAAAAACAGTATGACCAGGTACATATCTTTCGGGCCGTTCATAATTCATAGGTTTTTTAGGTGGGAGGGGAGGGGAGGGGAGGGGTG